TTGAGGCCAAGGCAAAGGTCATCAAGGCAGAGATGGATGAGCTCAAAGCACATCTCTACCAACGTTTCGGCAGCAACATCTCCCTGGAAAACTAGGACTAAGCAAAGGATAACAAGTGAAACATTTTCAATCAAATATATATACTAAATTTAATTTAAATTCCGATCATGATATATTCATTCGTTTGACTACAGCACTAAATAATATATTATCAGTCCAATTATCAGCAATGTAACCACCATGCCACCTAGAAAGATACGCCGATCCTCCACCAACCTCCGCTCGATCAACTTCATTGTGTGATTTGATAATCCCAGTGTGCTGCCAATAGCCTGTATACGTTTATGGGCACCGCTTAGCGTCATTCGCTGTGATATAAGACTTTCCAGTATGCCACTGCCAGATGCAATCATGTCGTCCACACCCCGATGGGCGTTGCCCATCTGTGTGTGATGTTGCAACTCGTAATCCAGTTGGAGGCACGTCTCCGATGGAGCCGTGCTGTTTGCAGCAAATCTATGGTTAAGCAGCTGCTCCCGCTCACTTATTTCCTGAAGCCGACGCTGGCGACGATCCCGCGCGTGCTGCAGTGATGTTTGCAAATGCCTCAAATCATATTTAAGCTGATCTATCCGCAGCTTTGAGCTCTGTCGCTGTGAGGGCGGCACCTTGAAAAGCAACACATCAAGCCGGTCGCAGTTGCTATAAAAATTTAACATATTTAATCAGCTGTTAGGGATACGCACAAAGGTGACTCACGAGTTAGCTTGGGTAATTTTAACTTGTATTGCATTCTCCACGTCAAGCGCTTCTTGTGGTGTGATTTGGCCAAGTCGCTGAAAGCATTGCTCAATTTCCTTGACCGTGTTATTTGTTTGGTGGTACAGTGTTTCCATTGTCTGGTAGGCAGCAGGGTAGTCGTCTAGATAGACCTCTAATTACTGAATTATCTGAGAAATTAACACGTAAAAATTGATTCGTTTCAAAAAGCTGACGCGTTGCATATAGTCCAATTGGTTAAGTGCGTTGTTATCGTACTAGCCTATCGGTAATCGACATTTCGTGTCACCTGCCGTCTATATGTGTGGCAACGCTTTTCTAAGAAAATGTGCTAATTAAAACCATACCTAAGTGTGCGATCAAAGAATACGCTAAAATAAGCCAAAACACACACACACTCTAGGATAAACCACAATGGCGCATACATCTAGTACCGGCGTTGGTAAGAATTTTATTTGTAAAATTAACAATTTGGCAACGAAATTGATTGAAAAACACGTGCCCGCGAGTACAGCCAAGATGTTGGCAGTATTTTGCCATGAAAAAGTGCGAAAGTTCGGCGTAAAACGAGTGCGCAAAACGTCTCTTTATTGAACGATGACGGGCCGCTGCCGCAGCGCTTCCACTGCCCCGCTCTATGTGAAAATGAAAAGAAAGCAAAAGGCAAAAAAGTCCGATAAAACGCGAGCTCACATTAAATTCATATTGGAAAATAAGCAAACGAACCATTGTCTATTGCGTTTGTCTCTCAGCAAGTTCCAATTGCAGTTGCCGTCGCTATGCAGCAATTTTTCTTCGTGACTTGACAATTTCGGTGGGGCCCGCACCCCACACACACATACACGCACACCCCCTTTGCCGTTCGATGTGTCCCTTTTCAATTGTTGTATGTGTGTGTTTTTTTTGCTCGTTTGCTCAGCCACTTGGTTTTATGCTCGTTGCCTTTGCTGTTAACCAAAGTGCTTCTTTAATTTCTAATTAAATTAGTTAGCCTGCTGCGTCTAAGAGTGTGGCTGCAAATTTCGCATATTGCGCATAATATCTTTAGCGCTTGCCTGCAAATTATGTCGTGTGTGCAAATGGACATGAGTCGGGGGAGCGCAGTGGACTGTTGGAGCTAACCAGGCAACCAAGCAACTAACCAACCAATACCACACCCTACGTCCGTCCGGTATTCGTATTTAATTTTTTATTCTACTTACGAAAATGAGTGCAAAGCAAAGGAAGAACAACGCAAGACACACTGGCCAATAACAACAATAGCAGCGACAGCAACAACAACAATATGAGTTTTGAGCAAAAGAAGAGCGCGAAGAGAACGTCTACTAAGAAACACATGACCCCCTCGCGCTAAATACACGATTTATGCCTTAATTACAACCTTCGGCCCATGCAAAGTTAAATGGAAATTTATAGTTGCCTAAATTTTGTTGATTTTCAGTGGTGCCACGAAATTTCCGCTTACTGGAGGAGCTGGATCAGGGCCAGAAGGGTGTAGGCGATGGCACCATATCATGGGGTCTGGAAAACGATGATGATATGACACTTACCTATTGGATTGGCATGATTATCGGCCCCCCTAGAGTAAGTGTACCCAACTAACTGATGAATGCAAGCGTCATCACATTCATCTACGTCACGTATAAATAGACTGCGTAACGAATGGGTTTCTTATCGGTCGAGATTATTGTTATGAAAGATATTGTATAGATATAGATATTGGTGATGTTAGATATAATCGATTGCGTAAACTCAAATTATGTCCGTGTGAAAAATATGCAAATGGCCATTAAATTTGATTAACCAACATGCGAACTGGCTGGAAACATGTTTTTGAAGATTAATACGATTCCCAAATAAGTCAAAAACTAATAAAGGCACTTTACTCTAACCATATATTAATATGTAAGAGTTAGGGGACAAAAAAGAAAAAGAGATTGTAATCAAAATTCAATTGAAATTAGCTTAAGATGTAAATTAAGAAAAGCCAAAAAACTTATCAAGCCAAAATGTAACCAGACTTATAGCCTCATTTCATTTGTGTTATATAAAATAGATTAAAACATCCTATTAGAACAGTTGATAACAAAAATTAAGAGATAAGCTCTATGCAACGAATCATTTTGGGCGACAACAAGAAATTTGAAATTCTTTTAGAAATATTTAAGCTATTTAAATAGGCACTGAGTCTGGTATGAATCACGAAATGTTGCAGTGGCAGCACACGCTGACTCATCGATAGAGCATGAGAGCCTGTCCGGGTAATAATTGCTAGTTGATGGTAGGAGTGAAGGGAGATACAGACGTGCATTGTGTATAATCGCTAGTCATTAAATGCATATTTCTAATACATATTCACTGATTCGCATGACTTTGTCTTTTTCTCTTCTAGACACCATTCGAGAATCGAATGTATTCACTAAAGATCGAGTGCGGCGAACGTTATCCGGATGAGCCACCAACGCTCAGGTTTTTAACAAAAGTTAATATAAATTGCATTAATCAGAATAATGGTGTGGTAAGTGGAGCATCGATCACTACGCTTATATATTGATAATCTAAACCAAATGTGTTCTGTGTAACAGGTTGATCATAGATCAGTGCCCATGTTGTCCAGGTGGAGTCGGGAGTATACCATTAAAACGATGCTTCAGGAAATACGTAGGATTATGACCATGAAAGAGAACTTGAAGTTGGCACAACCGCCAGAAGGTAGCTGTTTTTAGTTGGCAACAACGATAAAAACAAAATCAACAGCAACAGCAACAACAACAACAACCTACAACCACAACAGCAACAACAACAACAACAAACTGCAGCAGCATCAACAACCACAACAGCATTACACACAACTGCCACTGCAACAGAAACAGCAACAACAACAGCAACAGCTACACTCGGCTGATTGTGCATGAGTGTTAAGAGGCGCGTGCCGGCCATTGGTAAGTCGCCTCGATCCTCTACAGAGTTGTGTGTAATGTGAAAGAGAGACGGGAGAGAGATAGAGAGAGAGAGAGAGAAAGAGGGGGCGGCCGTTAGAGAGGCGGAGCCAAGTAGCTGCATTATTGTTTTTGTTGTCTGTTGTACTTCTTGAATGTGTGTGTGTGTTCAGCAGCAGCAAGAACTAAAGCAAAATATCTATACTATAAGTGTAAACAACAGCAACTGCAACAAGAAGAAGCAGGAGAAGAACAGCCAGAGCAAACGTCACTATTATATAATAAATGGTCGTCATCCCTTCCGTCATCGATCGTCGTACGAATGTCATCATGTTTGGTTACAAAACCCATTCTTAACTAAGAAATAAAACAACTCAATGTAAAAGAATGATTAAGAAAGGAAAAACAACAAACACACACACCTACACCCTTGCTAAAGAAAAAAGGAGACATTTATAATTTTAATCAAGCAATTTACAAAAAAAAAAAAAAAAAAAAAAAAAAATTATAAAAAAAAAGTTAAAAAGCAAATCCGTATAAGATAAAGAAATTCAGCGAGTTCTGTTTTCGTTGCATCGAAGAAGACGAAACGTAATTATTGTTTTGCATAACTAAAAAATTTATTAATTATATATATATATATACAAATTTAAGCGAATTTTTTGTAGTAAAAACAAAAACAAAAGCAAAAAAAAAAAAAAATAATGAACCGAACCGAGGCGATTATAATAATTTAATTAGTTTTCCTTCTTCAAATGGGACGTGAGACACGATTTATATCCTCGAAACATTGCGGTAAATATATTAAATACAAACTTTTAAAACAAACAAATAAACACACACACACACATCCATACACACTAAACTGATGAAGAAGTCGAACGGGCAGAACGATGAAAAAGAAAATGATTAAAATAATATTTTAATTTAAGCTTCTAAATAAAACAATTAATAATCCAATAAAAAAAAAAAGAAAAGCCAAAACGCATTTGAAGTGCGCATCAGTCGTAATAGGTTGAACATTCAATTCGAAATTTGTATACAAGCAATATATGTTTAGATCTTCAAAATTCTAAAACCAATCTCGACTGATCCACCTGAGTATATTCTTTACTTATGTACATATTATTGAACAGTTGATCGAAGAGATCTATATATATATATTTACAGCAGATCTCTATATAAAATAGATCACGTTTTCACTTCGTTAATCTACTCTTACAGACCTGTTCCATAAGTAATAGCAATTTCTCAGCAAACTAAAACTAAATCACATTCGGGTTTTATGTTTTCAATTGTTTATTTAAATACATAATTTGAATTTAAGATTTATACACAATACATGTAATAGTTTCCATGATTCATTTTGTCTAGGCTCTTTGCTTTCGTTGAACTTCCCGCATTATCTTTGATGTCCTTTGATCTTCATCCATTCGTTATTCTAGGAATTTTGGTATTTGTTTACTCTGTTCTGGCATGTTTTTTTTTTATTGTTAGCTGTTACTATAATTTCTTTAATTGAACTTTGTGTTTGTGTTTTCTGTGTGTGTGTGTGTGTGTGAACGGACATATTTTTTTGGGTTTATGCTTAAACTTGATTTATTTTTTATTAGTCGATAAAGTCGCATTAACACTGCAGTTCTTCACGCCAAATCAAATTCAAACAATTCTCTACTTCTCCTTGGGCACAAAGACGATCTTTCGGGACTTGAGCGCGGACCACTTGTGCCGCTTAATGTAATACGAGATGGCAGTCAGGAAGCCAAGAATGCCAATCACCTTAATCAGCAGCTGCTTGCGCTCATCATGCTCCGGCTCCGATGTCCACTTGAGGAACGTGGCCACATCCTTGGCCAATTGACTTTGTGTTGGTGGTGTGCCATCCTCATACTCAATTACCTGTTCGGCAAATAATTCAAATTATTAATCGAATTGAAACCACGTTGGTTAGATCTGTGCTCACCTCATTGTACAAGACCTGGGCCATGGATATGGCACCGCCAGGGAAGTACGGATTGAAGTACTGACCCTCGCGTAGCACGACGCCAGCTGGCGCATCATGGTAGCCAGTCAGTAGCGAAAAGATGTAATCCTCGCCACCCTTGCGCGCCGAAACGATGTAGCTCAAATCTGGTGGATAAGCACCGTTGTTGGCAGCACGGGCCGCTTCCTCATTGGGATACGGCGATGGGAAGTAGTCCGACAGCTTGCCGGGACGGTCAAAGTAGTTGCCGGTATCATCGGGACCGTCTCTCACCTGGATCAATTCAGACGTAAATACAAATTTCTGTCGAAAAGTAATGAATTCTCACCGTGATCTGCTCTGCCTCGGCCTTGGCCTGTTCTTCGGTATGGCTGACGCCAACCAGATTGCGGTAGGCAATATATTGCATCGAGTGGCAAGCAGAGCACACCTGCTTGTACACCTCATAGCCGCGACGAATGCTGCAGATCGTAACCAATCAATTGATCTATGCACTTACACTTTAGCTATATTTGAATTACGCACCTCTGGTGATCCAGCGAGGAGAACAGACCCCTATGGGACCAGGGCTGAGCGGGTGCGTGCACTTCAGTGCCAGAAGCCTCCACCGATTGCTCCAGAGCAAACAACAGAGCACCAACGCCGCCGGTAACAGCGCCGATGGCACCGATCAGCTGTTCGCGACACGCACACAACAAACATCGAGCGTCGAGCGTTGATCGTTGGTTGAAATGAAAAAAATAAGTAAGCGCAAATTTGAGGTTAGGTCCGTTCGGGTATTATGAAATGCTCAGTGTCCATTTGGTGACTTGTGATTACCTTTTTGTTGTTGCTTGCCCAGCTTGAAGCGGAGGACAGGTTCTTGGCCTGTGAAAAAAGAGAGTATTGATTAGATTTAACAGCTCTGCAAAAAACTGCACGTATGGGTTTTTGCACGGAGTTACATAATTGTGGGTCGAGTGTAATCTACCGTCTCAATAGAGGTAACAATAGTTAAGTCATCACAGATGATGCACAGTTTTTGGGCCAATCAATACCATACACTTTGATATAGACATTGGATGCAAAATTAATGTTGTAATGATAGTGAGCTGGATAGATTGTTTAGCGCGTTACGGAAAATTTTCTTTCGTGATGCTTATTGGATGGGCGGGTGGCCGAGTGTTTTACCTGTTGCAGATTCAAAGCTGGCGTAGATTTTAGCAATCTCAAGCCATTGAATCTTCGCAATGTCGCTGCCATTCTGGCCGGAGTTCAATTTTATGCGTCTGGTCGTGTAAGGAAACTTAAAGGGCAGCGCGAATCTATCTATTCCACTGGCACGGAGTCGCTCGCTTCTCGCTGGCAGATGTTTACTCGCTGCTGCTCAGTCGTTGAATTTAACAGAAATTACTCCTCTTCAGGTAAAAATGTGCTCCTCCGTGTATGCACCCACGCAGGTTACAGCTTTGCTCCACATTTAACATAAGTAAATCTGTAGCTAACACACAATTTGTGGGATTTACCTATTGATAACTCTGTTATTGCTCATCTCTTAACAGTAGCTGCTCCACGGTTAACATAGCGTACCTTTGACCTAAAGTATATTCGTTGATATTTAACAGAAACTGTACTGGCTGCTCGTCACATGACAACAACCACTAGTATTAACATAAGGAACATTTGCCCTAAGAAACATTTAAGATATTTAACATACATGATTACCCTGCTAACATGAATTACGTTTAACAGAATTTACTCCTCATTTACTATAACAGGTTGAACGCCCCCGCAACTCCACACACAGCCTCACAAACTGCGGCCACACTGTCTACATTTTGCAATTATTATTAGCAGACGACTCATAGCAACGGTGCATAAACAAATGTGAAGAAAAACGCTTTTCATTGATTTCCCATAAGCGAGTATTTAGCAGAACATTTTGAATTGTTGTTAGCCGTTAAGCAAAAGTGTAAAAAATGCCGCAAGAGCAGCCAACGGCGACTACGTCGCAGCAGCTCGATGACGAAATCGAAAATGTTCGCGTTGTTGTTCGATCCAGGCCGATGGACAAGAATGAGCTCGCCTCGGGTGCGGTGAGCGCCATCCAGGTGGATAATATCAATCGTGCAATAACCGTTATCAAGCCGAACGCCACAGCCAACGAGCCACCGAAGACATATTACTTTGACAATGTCTTCGATGGTAACTCTAATCAGCTGGATTTGTATGTGGATACGGCTCGTCCGATTGTCGACAAGGTGCTGGAGGGCTACAATGGCACCATCTTGGCTTATGGGCAGACGGGCACTGGAAAGACATACACCATGTCCGGTAATCCGGATTCGCCACAGACCAAGGGAATCATTCCGAATGCATTCGCCCACATCTTTGGGCACATTGCCAAGGCTCAAGATAATCAAAAGTTTCTGGTGCGCGTCAGCTACATGGAGATCTACAATGAGGAGGTGCGCGATCTGCTCGGCAAAGATGTGAGCAAGAGCCTCGAAGTTAAAGAGCGTCCGGACATTGGCGTCTTCGTCAAAGATCTCAGCGGTTATGTGGTGCACAATGCGGATGATCTGGAGAACATTATGCGGCTGGGCAACAAGAATCGCGCTGTTGGCGCGACAAAAATGAATCAGGAGTCTTCGCGCTCGCACGCCATCTTCTCCATCACCGTGGAGAGCAGCGAACTGGTCGAAGGAGGCATGCAGCATGTTCGAATGGGCAAGTTGCAACTGGTGGATTTGGCTGGCTCCGAGCGTCAGTCAAAGACGCAGGCGAGTGGCCAACGGCTGAAGGAGGCCACCAAGATCAATCTGTCGCTCTCGGTGCTGGGCAATGTGATCAGCGCTTTGGTCGATGGCAAGAGTACACACATTCCCTATCGCAACTCGAAGTTGACTCGGCTGCTCCAGGACTCACTTGGAGGCAACTCGAAGACAGTGATGTGCGCCACGATTAGCCCAGCGGATTGCAATTATGTGGAAACAATTTCCACGCTTCGCTATGCTAGTCGAGCTAAGAACATACAGAATCGCATGCACATCAATGAGGAGCCGAAGGATGCGTTGCTGCGGCACTTCCAGGAGGAAATTGCACGACTGCGCAAGCAGCTAGAGGAGGGTAATTTCGAGGAGGAACTGCTGCCCAGTGGCGAGGGCGAGGACGAGGAGGACACCTGTGACGATGAGCTTGAGGCGCCTTTAGAGATTGAACTGGAGTCTGCGGCTTCAGCTGCAACCAGTCCCACTGGCAAGAAGATACGAAAGAAGCGCGAAAAGTCCGACAAGGAGAAGGAAGAGCTGGCCATGCGCAAGAGCCAGCATTTGCGTGAAATCGAGCATGCCAAGACGGAGCAGGAGCTGTTGCGTAACAAGCTCGTCTCGCTGGAAGGCAAAATTCTGGTGGGTGGCGAGAATCTGCTAGAGAAAGCGCAAACTCAAGAGAAGCTGCTGGAGCAGTCCATTGCGGAACTGGAGGAGCGCGAGAAATCTGAGCAAGCATTACGGCAAACACTTGAGCAGAAGGCCACCGAGCGCATTGACATCGAGGAGCGCTACTCCACGCTGCAGGATGCCAGCACTGGGATCACCAAGAAGATCCATCGGGTCATGCAAATGCTGATGGGCGTTAAGTCGGAGCTGGCTGATCAGCAGCAGGAGCATCAGCGCGAGAAGGAAGGAATCTATGAGAACATACGTAGCCTTTCTCGGGAGTTGGCGCTTTGTGAGCTGGTGCTCAACTCGTATGTGCCCAAGGAGTACCAGTCCATGATAAATCAGTATACGCACTGGAACGAAGACATTGGCGAGTGGCAGCTCAAGTGCGTCGCTTACACTGGGAACAACATGCGCAAGCACATCGAACACAAGAACAGCGGCAAGGAGCCCGAATATGTTGATCTCTCTCACGTCTATCTCAGCTATAATACGGAAGGTGTATCCAATTCTATGGGCACCAAGTCGGCACGTCCACGCACCTCGGGTGTGCCGCGTCCCACAACGGCGCGTCGCTATTGAAGCCATCAGTCTCTAGTCCAGATGCAGGACCAGCTCCCGCGTGTCCATTATCTGTTCGGATTTCGTGCACAATTTTGGTTTCTTTTGTTTCTGCTTTTGCTTTTTTATGCTTTGAAGTTCATTGCTCAGCGATTATCTGCTCTCAACTGTATTATATAATTTATTGTTAATTTATTTCATTATAGGTGTCTGCAGTAGTTACTATTCATATATTTTAGGTTGAACAACGGTGCAATATGTTTAATTTGTATGTAATTTTAATTTATTGTATCTCACTTAGCAATAAATTTTTAAATAGTCACAGATGGCATAAGATAAAAAGTGTGCTTTTGGCTTTTTAAATAAATTGATTTAGTACTCAAGTATTTTATTAATAAATGTACTTCTGCGTTTGGAATAAATAAAAAGTCTGGACGTGCTGAAAAGTGTGCTGTGGTTTTCGTTCTTTTCGAATTGTGGAAGAAAACTGAAATTTGGCTCGACGCACATTAACTGGTTCCATAGTGTAGCGGTTATCACGTCTGCTTTACACGCAGAAGGTCTCCGGTTCGATCCCGGATGGAACCATGTTGTTTTTTTTTTTATTTTTTTAATTGAACATTTTTAAAAGCATAGCCATTGTTAGAAGCTTTCTAACAGAAAGCAAAAAAAATGAATAAGCAACTATTTAATTTAGTATATAATTCAATTAAACAACTTTTTATTATATTTGTATCTATTAATATATTTTCTGAATATTTAAAAAAACTATTGGAATTTCTTTTATAAATTACAATAGAAAAAAAAAAGAATGAAAATTTAAAAAAAAAAACCCACATGGTTCCATCCGGGATCGAACCGGAGACCTTCTGCGTGTAAAGCAGACGTGATAACCGCTACACTATGGAACCAGTTGCAAAACGTTTGCTTATTTGATAATTTCAGATTCTGGAACGAGTTTTTGTTTATTTTCAAGGGATTATTTTCAAAATGTATATTAAGGAAGTTTGCACACAATTAAATTTACAAAAAAAAAAAAAAAAAAAAAAAACAAACAAACAATTACAAAACTTAATTTATGGCGGGCTCACTGTCATAATTTCCACATGTAATTATCTTTTATTTATAAAACACAGGGGAGAAAAGTATAAAGAGATAGCTTTGATAAGTGATTATATACTGTGCTACGGTTATACAACTTCCGTTGATATAACTTCATGAATCTTGATGCTATTTTTGTAATGAATGGCTCATCGTAGCTGTCTGTGTTTCGCAATGCAGGTAAATGAACGCGCTGCTACCTGCGCCTAGCTGATAACATCCAACTGTACTTTTCCGACATTATATGGTATTATAAATTACAAACCAACTTTATCTTTTGTACTTCCCAAAGCCAATTATCGTGGCGCGCTTTATTTGCACATGTCGGGGTTTGGGGGAAATATAATTTGTATTTGCTGCTGTCAAAATCAAAGGGGGCGTATCCATATGGCCGTATGTTCCACTCAATTTATTCCCTCTCACTAGCTCTGTTTCAGTCAGTGTCCAGTGTGTTATCAGTTTGTGACGTGACGTCACGATTAACAGTTCATCATACACACTCAATTGATTGGAAACTGTGAAATTGTAAGACTGGGAGAGCAGCTCTCTGTTGCTATGTCAATGATCGTCCAATGACTCTCTGCTCTCTCTCTTATTTCTCTATAGCGGTACAGGGCTGGAGCGACGAATGCGTTGCTCAGTGGGAAGCAAATGGAGCGTGGCAAGAGTGCTATTACACTGCACAGCATAAGTAAGGCATATAACGAATTGAAAACGGATATATAAATATTTGAATAAAGCGAGATTCATTGTGCATTAAATCTTACATTAAAAAAAAAAATATAATTATTAAAATAATGAAATAAAAGACAAAATATATACATTAAATGCTCTGGATGCAATGTAAGAATAAATAAAGTGAAGTACTTTATTATACTATTGATATACATAAGATTTATTTTGTAATTCTATATGTTTTCTGATATTTTTGTTAACTTTTCCGTCTGCAAAAATCAAACTTCAGTCATGTAGTCGAGTGTAATTGAGCGGATCGGCTCTCGCCGTGCCAGTGAGATATGCAACACTTTTGTTGGATTCGTTTGAGAGATCTGGTGGTTGATTTGCTTTGGTTGGGCTCGGTTGGCGCTGTGCCGGACTCAGTTGCTCAGTACTCAGTTGATATTCGTTAAAGGTGATCGTCGGACGTGATATTGTCGTCCAAGGCAAATATATCGTAGTCTTTCTTTTATTATTCGTAAACTGTAAATCGTGTTCATTGTCTGTCGATTTCACATTGATGTGCAATTCTTGTTTAACTAAAAGTTAATGCATTAAACCAAAAGTGTTGCAGTCTTAAGAGCTACAGAGTTGATAAAAAGAAAATATAAATAAAAGAGAAACGCCACGTTCTCTTGCTCTACAAATACATACGGGTGATACATACTTATATATTTTATGTGCAATACATACAAACACAGTGCAGAGCTTATAATTAGCTAGTTGCCTCACATAGCAACAATCGGATTTTTTCACAACTATCAAAAGTCTTTACACACTTTCTTTAAATATACTATAGTACAAATCATTTCCACAAGCGTTGCGGAAAATTTGTTAAGGGAGTTGAAAGTGAAAAGCAAGAAACAAAATCACCCAGTGCGGTTCCAATGTAGCCCTTCATGGTTAATTAACACGAGCTCGTTGTGTGACTATATCGCTGTTTCGTGTTAAAACTATATCTATAAAGGTGTCAGATCGTAGAAAATCGAAAAATAGACTAAATACAATTCACATAAATACCATTAGTCAACAAATACCAAACAATTAACAGCGCAGACTTTGCGTGACTCAGCAACCAATCAAATTTTCCGGTGAGTAGATCATAGCATATTTCGATCAGCTGCTGACATAACTATGGGTAGTATCTAGAAGCAACTTAGTATACGTTCTCAAAGTGTTTCAGGGGCTTGTCAACACGCGCGCTCGTGCACTTAAACAAATATTGCTAACCTGACGAGTAGGAAACGTGGGTAACTGCCGACTCATTCCATTACTATGTATATAACTAGGCTATCTGGAATCAGGTCAATATTTTCATAAATAATTCGCACTTCTATTTGTTCTGTTTAATTCAGTTTATATATATATATATATTAATTTTCGTTGTGTATTCTTAAACGTTTTTGTCCGACGGGGAATGCAAATGCGCATATTCAACGGGATGAGATTACAGATCAAGGGTTTTCACTTTCTACTAACGCACAACAGCAGACATGACTAAACAGTTTTGGGGGTTGCTCGACGAGTGTGACCTGTAGCTCGAGCTCAATGGGATTTTCTACTGTTTTTCTAGTCTAATGAAATGAATTGACAATGTTGAGATAACGGCGGATTGGAAAAACTAGGAGATTTTAGATTGGGAGGCTTTTAATGCAAATAACAGACGAGGCGAATCTGTTTTGTAAGGGCTCGTCTAAGCATTAAGTAATGCTGTTATATAAAAATATATGTCCTCTATAAATTATTTTGATCTCATGTAGAGCTTATTAACAGATCAGAAAGGTGGCGGTAATCTAAATATAATCTAGAGTTAGTCAAAAGATAATCTAGACATTATCTGGAGCTCATTTAAGGCTCATCGGGAACTCATCTAGTTTTTTTCATCTTACTCAAAAGACCACATGTAGAGCTCTTGTTCCATTAATTTATAACATTCTTTAGAACTCAGAACTTCATTACGCTCAGCTTTATCTATATATCTGTTGAGAACATTCCACTATTTTCTACAGCTCTACGTTGCAAGCCTCCTAGCTTATCTCTGCCGATCGGCAAAGCTATTTCGATTATCTATATTATTTGTTTGCTAATTTTAGTCTACACTGATAGGCCAACACGGCAACTCGAACTGAGTCAAGTGCAATTAGCTGAAGGCCTAATTGCCGTGTGTTTGAATCCAATTTGAATTGGAATTCGCAGTCGGAAGTATGATAAAAATGAGCAAATGCACAATGAATATGTGTCATCGATAGACCTTCAGGCGTTATTTAACGTGTTAGCAGACTGAGACAGGTGAATAGGGTCACATGAGCGAGCGTGACAGAGCGACAGATAGCGAGACAGATCTCAGTGCAGGGCGAAGCAGCGCGGCGCTTATCATTGCAAATATTTTTACAAAGCGGCAGCTCCTCAAAAGCATCCAAAAATAAATGAAGTATTTACGCAGACAGCTGTTTGCTACTCCTGTTGCTGTTGTTGTTGTTGCTGCTGATGATGCTGTTTGAGTAGATAAGTGATGCTTTGAGTAGATAAGATTCTTACAGAGCACCTGCTTGACGGAAAAACAAAATCTCAGAAGATGTAAATTTAGTTGAGATTCCACAACGAAGCTGCGAAGTATAGATCGAGTATCAAGCTGTGAAAATTATAGAAGTGTTTCATTATGGCAAATCTTAAGTTTGGGTAAAGCAACTGAATATTACTTAAAAGATATTGGTAAAAGATTATTGGTATACAGCAAAAGTAAAAGTCAAAGGCAATGACCTAGAATATAAAGCGAAAGACCCGACAATAAATCGCAAATAAGTCTCAAATTACCTCGAATACGAACAAGTCTGCATGGATACCTAAGGCTGCCTGGCAACAGAGGGTTCAAGACGGTTAACTACAGTTCTTAAGAGACGTATACCTCAAGATGCTGTTGTTGTTGTTGTAGAATTGTCTGTGATCAAGGAAAAATAAATAAAAGACAATTATAAAGAACTACTACAAAGGCAAGCCGTGAGCCAAAGCCAGGAATAGCAGGGCAAGGAGAGAGACAGGGGTAGACAACAAGAGCGAACTAGAGTGAGAAAGAGAACGACAACAAGACCGAGCGAGGTTGTGGGGGAGAGAGAGAGTCAGTGGCATGACAACAGCTTCTATCACATGCGCACTCAGGCAGGTCTTTTCAAAGAACTTGCCAGGCGGCTTAAGCAGACACAGGCAGACGAGCGCAGACGGAGAGACAAACCGACGGACGGACAACGGCAGACAGCGTGATCATTGGGGGCAGCTATTGTGTCTTACAAATACGCAGACAAGAAATGAGGTCAAAATCCTTGAGGTTCTTGTCCCTCAGCATGAGATGAACTGCAGTTGAGACTCACTTAAGAGTCGAGAACAGAGCTTAAGGGTTAGAGCTGCCAATTTAGCTGTTAAGACTCTGATATAGAGCCATTAAGTGGATATATCATACAATAATTTATAGTATATATACACATATCATATGATCATTCATTGTTGCATACAATTCATTTAGAGTTATGTAAATGCCTGGAGAATTCATCAACAAGCCGCCTCTAATTAGTTGTTTATTGAAGCTGGCAGCCAGACAGAGAGTCAGCCATTCAGGCCCTCAAGAGAAAATTTCACGTCAATTAAAAGGTCTCATGATTGACCCCAACAAAAATGTCAAAGACAATTTATTGTAGATGGTAGAAAGTTTTGCTGGGAAAACAAATACGTAACAAATAATTTTCCTATACTTTAATTGCGCATTCAACTGAATGCCAATTTCCAGCTATGCGGAACGCTCCAGACTCGATTCAATTCAAAGTCAATTGAGGAGCTGATGCTAAATGACGCTGTGCATAATGAAACCTAATGGAAATGCGAAACGCAAACGATTCACTAAAAATCATCATTAACAGCTTTGACTGTTCTATTACGGGTTGAGGCAACTGCTTTTAGCCATATGCCCTAACGTTTAGATAGATTTGTTAGCGTCTTCATGGCGAACCGGTTGCAAATTGTAGACTCAAACTGATATTTAAATATAGCTTAAATTGTTAACTCAATTAAATTGTATTTTTAATATTATAATGATATAATTTAGTTCGTTTTTGAGCAGTGAAAAAATGTGCTACCAAAACTGGTTAAGTATTAATTAGTTGAAGCTAAATTTGTGTTGTTATGGCAGAGCTCGTATATGTGTAATTTAAGAATGACTTACAGGGATGTTCATAGTATGATCTGCATTATGATCTAGATTCCATTTCAATAGCTAAAACTTGGCTTTAGTCATAGCCAAAATTTAATGAAATTATAGAACAGATAACAGCTACTTGTTAGCTGCCTTATAGCCTCTTCAATAAGTATTGATCAAACCAAATTTTATGAGTATTAGGTCTGCAGATCATCTATAACTTATCTTCCATTTCCCAAAGATCTTAAGATTCCAAAATTTCTAGATTGATCCCCCATTTCCTACTATTAATTAAACATAATGACTGCTCTCAGCTAATATACTTTTGCTTGCTTCTGCTGTACAGGGTATTTAGCTGAATGCTCCATTAAAAATGCGCTGTGGCATAAAAATGCGAATTCTCGACAGTTGGCAGATGGTCACGTGCGCTGGTTAGCCTCGGTGCAAGTCGCCATTGATAAATGCATAGCTCGTCATATTAATGCGCTTTGAAGATATGTCAAGAGTGCATTAGCTCATAGCTGGAGATAGCTACACCTGCCACGTGCTCAAACGTTGGCTATGGCGCACCACCTGACGGCTGTACGGGATGGATCACTCGCTCGAGGGTCGAAGACAGAAGCGGCCAAGTTCAATAGAACAACGTTGCTCTGCACAATTTCAATTCAAATCGTTTGTCGGATTTTCCGCTCGTTTCGCTCGCCAAAAAATTTCGAACGCTGTCAGTTTTGGTGGGAGCGTCAAGGCAATCGGTTGAGATCGCGCGAAAATTCGTTTTCACAAAAATTTTCTTGCGCATTGACGTCGTAATTATCTTAGAAGAAGCGAGATTACATGCAATATATATAATCTTTTGACATAGGCGGATCTTTCCGGTTCTTGCGAGCTGATCTATTTACGTGTTGGAATAACCAAGAATAAAATTTAAAAAATATATTTTTACATAAATCATAATTGATAAATATTTGTTGGTGTGTGTACAGCAGCTGAGTGTATCTGATAAAGGTAAATGAACTACGACGACTCATCTGGAGGAATTTTGCTGGGTTTTTCAGAAATGTTATTATTGACTAAGCACTGAAAACAGCTGCAGAAGGAAATCTATAATCTAATATTTTTTCCATATTTCTAGTGAAAAATTTATAGAAATATTATTAGCCGAAACAGCTTTGACTAGACAAAGAAAATAATTTAAATGGTATATTTCAATGGAACTATTGAATATTTATGAATTAAAATTGCTATATAATTTTATCTATATAAAAAATCTTTCGTTCATCAAAATGCCTTCAAAAAAGTCAAAGTCGATTGTTCTTTGATGAACCTTTTGCTTATAGACAAGCTGATTAGCATTTCATCATCAATCGTATCTCAGTCGAGATCTGTTAATTGCGTGCTTCAATCACACCGCATACGTATAGAGTATAACTTGTTAATCACGCGACTAAAGCTGTCAGCGCATGCGATCTGCAAATGCTTGCCAAATGGCTGGGAGCTCAGTGATATTGCCAGTGTTGAATAACGGTTTTGCCACGTGTGTCAACACAGCAGTCGTCGCGACGTCTGGACTTTTTTCTTAACAATAATGTCGACTAGTCTGATATAAGCTGAGACAGTAATCAGTTGTCGTTGCAATTCTCGCTCAAATTGTATTTGCAGTAGCAGTTTCTGATTACACTTCTGATACCCTAGGTCTGCTGAGTATGTCTAAAATAGGGTATGCTTTAATGATCATAGGTTTGTAGCAGGCAAATAGGAGATGTACCTGGTGTCATTAGGTATATTTATTATTTATTAGGATTAATAAGTTATGGGTAAGGAGAGCTCTGTGCTTCTTCTTTTTACTTGCTGGCTTGCCTTTTCGATTCTCTTTCTTTCTTTTCTCGAGGTTTACTATGCCTTAAAGCTTTATACATATATTATATATACATAATTCCTTCGATTTCTATGAAACCAACTAAAATCGTTATTAAATTTTACTCATTTGAGTATATATATGGATCGTTTCAAGATCTAGATCAACAAGATATATAAATTGATTCACTTTAGTTCTATCAAAATAAGAAGCACTCCGTCTCTATATTTTCACACTTTCCTCCAATGCATTGCAATGCACTGGCAGGGTATCTACCTAGTCGTTCACTTAAACCTACTCGTTATTCCTTTTTTAGCTGGCTTAGCTGTCTGCTGTAAGTTTACAATTTCGTTGAGTTTATCAACGGACGGCGCGTGGCAGCGGCTCAGCTCAGCGGACTTTTCCCCCCATTGCATTGGATCGAGTGGCCGAGCGTAATTGATTGACCGATATGAAGCGATGTCTGGATTACAATATTTTGCATGGGTTTGCATATTTATGCTCGCTTAGCTCTTTACATTCAGCATAGATTGAGGTTCCCACATCAGCGACAGGTTGCCTCAAATACTCTGGGAGTTGGAGCTGTTGCTAAGTGAGTGGCCGATGTTGAATTATTTATGAGACGCGTTAGCAGATGATCTGCTGTCTGCCTGAGGTTCCTATCACGTTTTGGATACATGAACTGCCTTGAAATGCTTTGCCCATTGAACAATTTGAATACATTTGCTTTTATTTACATAGCTAAATAAGTGGGCTGCTCTTTGCTTTTTTTTTAAGTACCGTAATTAGTTAAAAGTTATTTGTTGGTACATGATTTTTATTGGTAGGAAAATTTGAAAAATTTTATGATTATTTTCATATATGTTTTCCTTTGTTTCAGATCTGTATACGTAATTAATTTATTGCTATTATTGTTTATGAAAAGGCGAGCATATCGAACTTGATTTGTGGATAGAACCATTTAGCATAACAGTGAATTATTTGACTGCTCTACTAATAGGTACAGTTAGCACAAAAGCTCAACATTTTGAATAGGCCCATAAATCATAGACATTGATATTGCTTATGTGAGGAAAGTTCTAGGTAAACATTTATTAAATCGACCCGCATGGAATGTTCGCCACTGTCAGTTGATTCAAGACTGTCTAGACTGACAAGAGCATATCTAAATATTTGCACAGCATGTGTATGTAATCTTATCAATGTTTCAATATGTATGCATATAGAATTTCAGTTTCAGTTCAGGAAATAGCGTAGCTTCTATCTGGACATATTTGGAGTACTTTGCTATCGACTAAGTCAATTATTTACAGTCGACTTAAATGATTGATTGGGCTGGAAAGAATGAAAATGTGCTGCGGTTGCCAAGGCATATTACATGATAGTATCTATATCTATATATACCTAGATAATATCCACATAATATCTGGTTGCTGCATTGCGCACATTGAACTCTATAAATCAGCCATGTAGGCTGTTCACATCTAAGCAAAAATTATACAATAAAGGGGAAAAAAAAAAAACAAGAGCAACTTTGTGTGCTGCACAAACAAGAGATGATAACGATAATAAAACTTAATTAACTTCAGTTAGCTTTCTTGGAAAAAATACGCAAAATAGACGTCAAACATTTGGCTAAGCTTATAGACATTAGAAGGCTACCTTAGCTCACATGCCATTGACGTCATTGGAGGGTTTATACTTGGCTAGAACTTTGTCTAGTTCAACGTGCAATTGGCAGCGCGTGAGCAACTGCATGATTGACAGATTCTTCTGGCCTTGACGCTGTTCACTTTATCTTTCGTTTACAATGCAAATCAATTTGGTCAGAGAAATATATAAAAACAATTAAAAGCCTGCTTGGCGGGTATGCCTGACTAGGTAATGACTGGGCAGCAGCTGATGCTAATTATGGTTAATATATATTTTAAATTGAATCTTGAACGATCCTCAAACAAGTAGATATTTATCGATATTACAAAACTGAAATGAATGATCATATAGAGATATCTATAGCTCACTTTACCCCATACACTCATTTTAGCCAGGGTATTCGAAACATTGATGTATATAGACAGCATTCAGAAACAACTTTATCGGACCGGCACGGTTTTCCACTGGCTGCAGCTGCTTTTCACTTGTTTATTTTCACAAGTGAAGCGAAAATGAAATGAATTTCATATCGGCTAAATGCAAAAAGCAAACAATCGGTGCGAACTACAGTCCACAGTGTGATTCAGGGAAAGTCGCATAAAAAAGCAGTTATAAATATTTTAAATGTGTTCAGTAATCATCGTTCGTAATGACTGCAAGCGAAATGAATTGCCAAGATCCAGTAAGCCATAACTCGTTCATAAATATTTGAATATATATACATATATTTTAATAACTGGTCAGCTGATCAATTTTGTGACAGGCTCAGCGAAGTAAAGTGCAAACAGGCAATTAATTTAAATGGGGACTGCCCAGCACTTGACATAGTGAATGCAATTAATCATATGCAAAAGCAGTTAAAGAGCTCAATTTAGTTCAAGTCGTTAAGAAAACAATTTTAGATTCTGTTGTAAACCCCATTCCACTTTATTTATAGTCGAAGTAATATAATATATTGCAACTGTTTACTGATTACTTTCGCTGCGATTACCAACTCTTAGCTCAGGCAGGTGAATTTGTCTAGCAGTCGATAGACCCTCAACAGGCAGCAGCTGCTGGTTTGATTCGTTGCCATTCAAGCCAATTGAGCTTTAACATCACAAGACATCAATTCAAGTGGCCTGTGCTCCAATTCAAATGTCGCCAAGTTGCCGAGCTCACTTAGCTGCCGGGGACCACCAATCAACTGGCCGCGACTCATATTTCATCTCAATAAACAAATAAATAAATATGCACAATTCGTTGAACTTGTGCGCGTGCGCAACGTTTTCATAAGCGTTTTGCATAAACAAAGTCTGGGCGTCCAGAAAGCTGGCTCTGTGGATTGGAATGAGAAAACAAACTCAACAAGTAAGAAGGCTCTAGTCGAGACTGCTCGACTAGGAGATACCCTGAACCCTCTAAGCTGATATTCTAATCAATCTGCACTTTTATGCACACACACATACACATGCATCCACACGCACGCATAAGCCTGCGCTCTGCTAACTGCGCAGTAAGCAGCGACTGCGCTTGGGCTGCGCTGCAGTGTGGGCAATATTATGAGAATTTATTTGTTGAATAATTTCTTTTGTAGACATAAGATCTTAATGAAACTTTCAGAGCGTAATTATATGGTGAATACGTGTGTACATTCCAAAGCACAAGTCTCTAGTACTTGAAATGCGTTTTTTACAAATTGGGGGCGAAGGGGGCGTGGTATCCAAAATCTGTTAATTACAAAATCTTTATATCCATTAACTTTATATACAACCCAAATTTGAAGACTCCAGGTCTAAAAATGTTCAAATTAGGCTGAAAAAACAAAATCAATTTTTCGATTATTCTCGATAAAAAAGTTATCGGACGATTTATCGAAAAAATAAAGCAAACTCGTACTGCGTATGGTACTCACGAGTATGCATGCCAAATTTCAGCTCTCTAGCTCTTATAACTTCTGAGATCGACGCACTCATACGGACGGACGGACGGACGGACGGACGGACGGACGGACGGACGGACGGACGGACGGACGGACGGACGGACAGACGGACAGGGCTATATCGACTCAGCTCGTCGCGCTGATCAAGAATATATATACTTTGTGGGGTCTGCCACGCCTCCTTCTACCCGTTACATACTTTTTCACAAAACCATTATACCCTGATTTCCCATTTTCAATGGGTTCAGGGTATAAAAATGATGATCTATTGATTTACATGTCTAGAGGCGCAGCCGCTTAAGATTTACTCAGACTAGACTAAACATGAGATTTATTTGATTAACTTTATTTTTATTTGTCTTTCTCTTTGCAGTACTTCAAATGGGTTGACTTGGGATATTTAAGCTTCCTGGACCCGGGAAACAAAAAAGGTAAGCAAAAACTAAGCATTAAGAAGTAAGGACTAAGCATTAAGAAGTAAGAACTGAGAGCTGAGGTAGAAACACTAAAAATTATGAACTATAAAGAACTAAGATATCAGAGCTAAAAACCGAGAGCTTTAAATATATTTGATAACTAGATTTAAAAGGGAAGAACTAAGAGCCTAAAATTAGGAAATGAGAACTAAGAACTAAGCACTAAGAACTAAAATACAAATACACATTCATTGCTATATTTATTGCTATATATACACTATATATATTTCCCTTTTGATGATATACTAGAAAACCCAAATATTTTCATTTTATTAATAGAGCTTCGATTTCGTTTGAATTCCTGATTGATTGTTGCTTAGTTCTGCAAAATATTTGGCATTTCAAAGCTGACAAAAAAAAGGAAAATCTTCGTATAAACACTCAATATATGTAGAGGGAAAATAGCTACAAAGACGTGTGAATTAATTTGCTTACATGATTTTCATATCAACTAATTCTACGTGCCCGACAATTCCCAAACTGTCGAAAATAGAACGAGCAATGGGGCGTATGCGCAATTTGTTTATCTTTGTTAAACAGTTGCACAAGTTGCTTTCGATTCGATTCAAAATTCTAATTACAAACGATTATAGTTTGCCTTTACAAGGCCTTGATATTATTGAAAGTGAGGCAAATACTTTTGCAATTCTTGAGCTGGACTTCTTTCTCTATGCATTAAGCTATTATTTATGATATCATGTGCTTTAGATAATTAAGTATACGTCCAGCTGGAACAGGTGGGTGAATGTTTATCGAGCTGTGAGTGCCATAAAACTTAGCCACATCAAGATCCACTCGGATCATAAAACAAATATATACAATATATATAAATAAATTCAACTACTAAAATGTTTATCCAAGAGAGAAATAGGAAATGTTGCCAAAGTTCAGATTCGGTTGGACAAATTGAGGTATTTTGATGGGCATCTCTTGACTGAATATGAATTACAGTTAGCGATTCGAGCCAAAAAATCGAATTGAGACGTATTACAAACTGAATGGAAATAAAAGCGAATTGTTTATTATTATTGAGCAGCAAATGCGCATTGTATAAATATTTAGAGTGAGCGAATAATAATGGGCGTTCTTTTCATTTAAATACACGCGCCGACGTCATAGAGAAATGCCTTTCATATGAGCTTATATGGGCTAGATCTCTTTTATAAATGGCATCAATTAAATTGACTTAATATTTCCTTTTCGCATCTATTTTGCTAGGGATAAACTTTGAACTTCAGTAAATTGAAATAGTTTGGACGCTCAATAGATACATAAACCGCATCTGCTGCTACTGGACATAGCAGCGAGAAGGCAATAGCAACCACATACATAAGCAACCACCTGTAACACACGCACACACGCACACACATCAGGCATTAGCATTCGTTTTTGGGAAGTATTCACTTTTCGATTAATCACCGTTTGAGCCACTGCCCAAGAGCAGCGACAACCCCGATGAACCAAAAGGCCGATTCGCTTGACAGCGCGGCCACCGTGAAGAACAGCAGCAGCAGCAGCAGCAGGAGCTGCAGCAGGAGACAGGACTCGCATCCTGGCGCTATTGGCCAAGTGATTGCCATCAAACTGGGCCACTCCTACGCGGCACGCGCCGATCTCAACTATTGCCGAGCCGAGTGAACTCCACACAGACAGATTCGCCCAGAGAGTAGAGTTGACCAGGAATAAGTCTGCATAGACCATATACATCTATACATACATATATATTCTGGAGTAGTGATTTGAAAGCGGCTTCAAGACGGACGGCACAATGCTGAAAGTTGTCGGTGCATCATGGCAGAAGACGCGTATAGGGACGTATATACTGATCGGCGCCGGCTTGCTGGTGATCGGCGCCTTCTTTGTCGGCTATATGGATCGGCCCGAGTACGACGGGACCTACTGTGCCACCGCCTTCTGGACGAAGAAGGTGGGCTTTCAAATCGAGAACTGGAAGCAGCAAAACGACCTGGTTAACATACCCAAGGGTGTGGCTAGGATATGCTACAAGGACTCTGTCTATGAGAATGGGTAAGTTTTGATCTACACTCTCAGTCGGGTACACTTTGGCTAAATGATATGCATCTCCTGCAGTTGGGCACAAATCGAGGTGGAAACGCAGCGCAGTTACCCGGATTGGGTGCAGGCCTATGCTGCTGGCATACTGGAGGGCTCGCTGACCTGGAAGAACATCTACAATCAGTGGACCAAGTAAGTGTGACAGCCACCACATCATATGCCTACAGCTGCTCAATGCCTCCTCTCTCTCTCTCTCTCTCTCTCTCAGCACAATCTCGTCGTCTTGTGAACGCGATGAGAGCTCGGAAAAGTTCTGCGAGTGGCTGCGCAACCTGGTGACCCGCAACTACGAGCATCTGAAGCAGCAGGCGGCGACCAAGGCCGAGCACGATCATTACTGGCATCAGGTGCATTTGGTGCTCAATCAGCTGGAGGGCATGGAGACGGGCTATATACGTGGAGCCACACGTGCACGCTCCGACCTGGAGGAGGAGATTCCGTTGTCCGACTTTCTGCTGATGAATGCTGCAGCTGATATCCAGGATCTGAAGATCTACTACGAGAACTATGTGCTGGCCAGTGGCAATGGCACCGTGGAGGCGGGCAGCAAGAATTTCTTCCTGCCCAGCGCATCGATGCTGACGAAGCTGCTGCGCCAGGAGGAGTCGCCGCAGATGCTGCAGCTGCTGTTCGGCCACAGCACGGCGGGTAGCTATTCGTCCATGCTGCGCATCCAGAAGCGCTACAAGTTCCACTATCACTTCTCGCCCGACACGCGCAGCAATACGGTGCCCGGGGTGGACATCACATTCACTGGCTACCCGGGCATCGTGGGCTCCACGGATGACTTCTATGTGGTCAAGGGACGGCAGGTGCAGTCCATTGTGGGCGGCGTTGGCATCAAGAACGAGAACCTGACCATGTGGCAGACAGTGGACGTGGAGAACATGGTGCCGCTTGTGGCGCGCGTCATGGCCGCCAATCGCATTGCCCAGAACCGACGCACCTGGGCGCGTGCCATGTCCCGGCATCCGATAACGGGCGCCAAGCAATGGATCACCGTCGACCTGAACAAGCTGGGCACCCAGGACAACCTGTACCATGCGCTGGACGCGGACGAGAAGCACGACGATGCGCCGGTGGCCGTGAATGAGAAGGACAATGCCGCCATCAGCGAGCGCCACGATCAGCTGAAGAATATGGTCTGGATAGCGGAACAGCTGCCGGGCCTGATGTACAGCAAGGATGTCACGGAGCACTTCCTGCTGGCCGGCAACTCCACCTGGCTGGCCAACGGCGTGCCCTACTTCGATGAGATCCTGAAGGCCAGCGGCGGCTCGCGCGAGAACCACAGTGAGGATCACACAATGACGGCCGCTGAAGACGCCGAGCTGACCAATCTGGAGGCGGTCGATAAGTATTTGCGCAATCACGGCTTTCGCGGCGATCTGCTGGGAGATGAGTCCATTGCCTATGGCAACATAGACCTCAAGCTCTTCTCCTACAATGCGCGGCTCGGCATGAGCGACTATCACGCCTTTGCCGGGCCCATTTTCCTGAGGCTGCAGCATGCGCACGCCCGTTCGCTGGAGGAGCCCCACGTCCAGGTGACGGCTGATCAGGCGGAGCGGGCGGATCAGGCAGCGCCCGCTGCCATGGGCGACGAGCGTCTCAGTGTGACCATAGACGATGCGGCGGCTCTGGCGGAGCTGGAGCTGATCACGGAGCGGCGGCCGGTGCGGAACGATATGAGGGCCATTGCGATGCGAAGGATTGGCAGCGGCCCGTTCAAATGGTCGGAGATGAGCGGCGTGGACGATGGCAACAATCATGAGGGCCATCCCGACGAGTGGAACTTTGACAAGGTGTCGCCCAAGTGGGCGTGGTAGCCTGCCAAAGCTGAATTAATCAAACAAATAGCAATAGAACGTATTCCCAATCGAATTTCACGAGCGACCCCAACTGCGAAGCAATAATTGTACCTAATTATGTAATCTTAGAATCGTCCCCTGTGTGTTCCTAGCTATTAAATCATCCTCTAATTCTGTGTTGCGTCCATAGTCGTAAATTGTAGTTGTGCCCACGTAACATATCAATGTCAATTATTGTCTTCCAGTTGATATTTGTTTAATTATTTTCAAATATTGTAACGCCTATAGTCTCAAATTTTAGCTAATAGTAGTCACTTTTATACATATAAACTGAAGCGAAATTGCCAACAACAAAACAAAACATGTGTATTCATTTAATTTTGGGAAACCAAATTTCGAAATCAATCGAAATTTCAGTTTGGCTTGCTTTAGTGAAGACCAGAACCATGATGAGCAGCGCCATCTAGCGTTAGCAATAGAACAGTGAAACTGGCTGAGTGTGGAGCCTGGACTTTGTGGATTGCATGTGATTTGAATGGACTGTTGAATTTAAATGAGATTAGAGCAGGCGTCTTGGGTATATAATATAAATTGATATTATTTTATATTTATATATGTGTGATATGCCGTTTAATCAGTGGAATTCTGATTGGCATATATTTTAAATTGGATGTTTTATAAAAAGGGGAAAAAACGTTCGATTCACAGAATGTGACGCCTTCTTATCAATTATTTAGAGATAAGCTTTGCTTCCAGCATAGATTTTTTTTCAATATAAATATTAAGAATCTTTCTACTGCACAGCTTCACTCCTCCTCCTCCCCTCCTCAACATCCCTTATGTCTCCCTCAGCAATATCTTTCTTTAACTCCAACTATACATCGATTATGACTTTGGCAAAGTTCTTATGGTTTTTGAGATATCTCAAGTATAACAACTCGCCCCATTTGTCTGGCCAAGTGCTCTGCTGAGATGCGCATTCATTATTCACATTTCGATATAGATTGCCACGCATTGCATTCAGTTAGCCAATAACCGCAACGCGCGAAACTTTTTGGGAAACAATTCGTGAAATGTTCGCATCAATTGCTATGCCATCGGGTATATTGATTTCAAAATTGAATTTGCAAGTTTTTCATTTCATTTTTTTTTTGTGTTAGACAGACGACAAACGAGGCCAATTACTTGGAGATATTTGTGTCGAAAACTTTGGGTGAAACTTTACAAAATTTCCCTTTGTCTAACAGCGACAACAAGACAATTGTGAATGCAACATGCAGAGAGAGAGAGAGAGAGAGAGAGAGAGAAAGAGAGAGAGAGAGACAGGGAGAGTGATAGAGTATGGCATCTGTAGAAAGCAAGAAAAATCCCCTTTTATGCTTTGATTATGGTAATTTTGCGATTTGTTTTCATTGCAGTGAAATATGCAATTTTCCTATATGTATGGGAGAAGAGCAAACTTCGAGCTGTTCCCACACAGAAATATGTATTGGACTAGGGCTCTTTACAGATGTATGTATATATCTATATATATCTCTTTCTATATATATATATATATATATATATTGTATAATATGCATTGCGCCGTAAAAGCAACTGCTTTGCTTACGCCCCCAAACTCCGAGTCCGGCATTTGCATAAGTTGTGCAGCGAGCGAGCGAGCGAGCAAAAGGAATTACGGCCAAGTATTTTGCATACATTGGGCCCAAAGCACATTCAAACTGACTTTGGCCAGCGGCAAAGACGCCTTGCACTGCCTTTTATATAAATTACAATTTATATATATATATATATATATATAGCGCTGCTTGGCCAATTGCTGAGTTATGGCCAGTTGGCTAGTTGGCCGAGTGGGCGGTTGGCCCGCGGCTAATATCAATATACGTAAATTTACTTTGATGCTAATGATTCGGTTGATGGCGTTTGTCAGTCGAATGCATTTAAATACTTGCCACGCTTAATGCCGTTATTGATATTGATCAATCCGTCAATATGCCAGAGTGGCTAAATTAGTGCGTCAGCGCAGGTCAAGCGGCGTTTTAGCCACGCCCACTCACTGATTTATAATTGTAAATTTGCTGTTGTACTTGTTGTTTTTTTCTTATTTTTGTTTTTTGTTTTTTTGTTTTTGTTTTTTGTTTTAACCAACAGTTGCTGCTGCTGCAGCTGCAGGTGTTCGCATTGTATTGGCTTTACCTATTTGATTTATGGCCCAAAGCGCGACCAAAGCAACCAGCAGCACATTTTATGACGTCACACGCCCCGCGTTTACGCAACGCACTGGTCCACGCGGCGTATGCTTGATTTAATTATGTGCGTGCGCGTGAATGGCTGAAATGCTCTAACTGAATGCGAGTTGCTTAGAAATGTTGATTGTTACGATTTTTGCATGTATAAGCATATATATGGAATCAATTGTGATTTACCAGCTGTAGTTTACTTTAATTCACGCTGGCATACATAAATAATTGCAAAT